AACTTTTGGGGGAGTTTTTTTCGATGAATTAGGGTTTATTATTTCCTTCCTTAACCCCAGATAGGAGAAAACCAGAGACTTTTTTTTCAAAAAATCTCTCATTTTTTTTATTGGGCTACTTGTTTTCTCCAGGTACTACTTCTTCTTCGCTTCTTCCAATTGTTTTGTGTTTGATGTTAGGGTTGTTGTTACACTGAAGATGATGATGATAGATTTTCTCTGGTTTTTTTCTTGGGGTTTTGGTAGATCGATGGGTTTTTACTGCAGATTACTTGTGTTTGAGCGATCTAATAAACTTTTGGTTTCCAGATTTGTTTCGATGAAGATTTTATTTTGTTTGGTTGCTTTATTAATCAGATTATCAGTATCGTTGATCTATAGGAAAATACTCCAATTTTTGCATTTTTAGCTTTTGAAATTTTCATTTTCTCTTTCCTTATTCAGATATGATCCTTCCTATATTTGGGGGTTTTTCGATTTTTTTCCGATGTTGAGGATCTCATACTATATTTGGAAATCGAATCTCTAGTAGATAAGGTTTCTTCTGCCGATTGATTGATTCTGCTCTTAAGTCTATAAGATAAGATCTGTCATGTATTTGTTAGTTGAGACGGTGATTGAATACGAAAAGGCCCCTTTCTAATGCTGGGTTTATGGTTTTGATTCTTGTAAGTTGTTATTATGGTTTTGGTTCTTGTGTTAGACTCAGATAGTCATGTTTCTGTTTTGATCTTTTTTTTCCAGGTTAATCGGTCTCTGGTTCTTACTGTGTGAAGAAGAGTGACGATGATGTTTAACGAGATGGGAATGTGTGGAAACATGGATTTCTTCTCTTCTGGATCTCTAGGGGAAGTGGATTTCTGTGCCGCGCCACAAGCTGAACCGGATTCGATTGTTGAAGACGACTATACTGATGATGAGATCGACGTGGATGAACTGGAGAGGAGGATGTGGAGAGATAAAATGCGGCTTAAGCGTCTCAAGGAGCAGGACAAGAGCAAAGAAGGAGTTGATGCTGTTAAGCAGAGGCAGTCTCAAGAGCAAGCGAGGAGGAAGAAAATGTCTAGGGCTCAAGATGGGATCTTGAAGTACATGTTGAAGATGATGGAAGTCTGTAAAGCTCAAGGCTTTGTTTACGGGATCATCCCGGAAAATGGGAAGCCTGTGACTGGTGCCTCGGATAATCTCAGGGAGTGGTGGAAAGATAAGGTCAGGTTCGATCGTAATGGCCCAGCTGCTATTACTAAGTACCAAGCGGAAAACAATATCCCCGGGATTCATGAAGGTAACAATCTGATTGGACCGACTCCACACACGCTGCAAGAACTTCAAGACACGACTCTTGGATCGCTTTTGTCGGCTTTGATGCAGCACTGTGATCCTCCTCAGAGACGGTTTCCTTTGGAGAAAGGAGTTCCTCCTCCATGGTGGCCTACTGGGAAAGAGGAATGGTGGCCTCAACTCGGTTTGCCTAAAGACCAAGGTCCTGCACCTTACAAGAAGCCTCATGATTTGAAGAAGGCGTGGAAAGTCGGCGTTTTGACTGCGGTTATCAAGCATATGTTTCCAGATATTGCTAAGATCCGTAAGCTCGTGAGGCAATCCAAATGCTTGCAGGATAAGATGACTGCTAAAGAGAGTGCTACTTGGCTTGCCATTATTAACCAAGAGGAGTCCTTGGCTCGCGAGCTTTATCCTGAATCCTGTCCTCCTCTTTCTTTATCTGGTGGAAGTAGCTCTCTTCTGATGAATGATTGTAGTCAATACGACGTTGAAGGATTTGAGAAGGAGCCTCATTATGAAGTGGAAGAGCTCAAGCCTGGAAAAGTGATGAATCCTTCAAACTTTGGTATGGCTGCTAAAATGTCTGAATTTCCTGTCAAGGAAGAAGTCCCAACAGGAAACGCAGAATTCATTAGAAAGAGGAAGCCAAGCAGAGATCTGAACACTATAATGGACAGAACGGTTTTCACCTGCGAGAATCCTGGGTGTGCGCATAGTGAAATCTGCCGGGGATTTCTTGATAGGAACTCGAGAGACAACCATCAGTTGGTTTGTGCACATCGAGACAGTTGCTTGCCGTATGGAGCAGCAGCAGCATCCAGGTTCCATGTTAATGAAGTTAAGCCTGTAGTTGGATTTTCTCAGCCAAGGCCAGTGAACTCAGTGGCCCAGCCAATCGACTTAACGGGTATTGGAGTTCCTGAGGATGGACAGAAGATGATCTCTGATCTCATGTCTATGTACGACAGAAACGTCCAGAGCAGCCAAACTACTATGGTCATGGAGAATCAAAACATGTCACTGCTCCAGCCAACGGTTCCGAATCATCAAGAGCATCTTCAGTTCCCGGGAAACATTGTCGAAGGGAGTTTCTTTGAAGACTTGAACATCCCAAACAGAGGTAACAACAACAATAGCCACCAAACGTTTTTCCATGGGAACAACAACAATGGGTTTAAGTTCGACAGTGCAC